TTTTTACAGTGTTTTATTAATATCTAGTAGCTGTTAAAATTTCAATATTTTCTCATTGTTTTTATGTAAGGGTTCATAAAAGCTTAACACGAGAGCGAACAATATTCGATATTCCGCTTGAAACGTTCAACTTTTTGTTGTTAGATATATCGTACAACTCGCTTGAAAAGCATCGAACTTTTCCCAGAACCGGGAATAATTCTCGCCGCGTTGCACCACGGATAATCCGTTTTCAATAATCGTGATTAACTCCGGCGCGTTCGAAGAAGTTCCGAGGCGCAGCCTAGTTTCCCAACCGTTCGACTATTGTTTAAATAACCGTACGGTTCGTCGGGAGTACGATCACTTCACGAAAATCCATCTAACTGCCACCGCCACGCCGAGGTGCATCCGTGATACGTTTTTCACGCGTCTCACCAATCGGACGAGGGATTACATTACGACACCGCTGCCATTGTACCGAGGAAACTGCTCTCGGGCCTGTCACGAGAACCAGATTGCCGTAATAATTTGATTGATATTCGCTCTCCTTCTCGTTGAGAACGGGCTCCATGGATAAATATCGGCCAGCCACGTAACACGCTTCGCTTTTGTACCCGTGCGGAGTTGAAGACCAACAGTCAAGAGGATTTCAATCAATATTGATTAGAAAATTCAGAAATATAATTTATGAAAAATGGTTTCTGCTATAAAAACGAGAAAGAGATTAATAAACTATTGTTAGCGTAAAACTGGAATCATAGAGAGTCCGAGACTTTGCATCTGCGGAGAGGAGATCGGGAGAAAGGAAGGATAATTTGGAGAATGGAATGACGGATGCTGGCGCACGATGAAGCGCGGCAAGCAGCGGCGACGCAACGCGACGTGTGCAGTAGGTCAGCTCGTAGAACGAGGCTAGAGGTTCCCGGCAAATCCGGTGTCAATGAGATCGATTCACCCGAGCTTCGCCGCTCCAGTTATTGACAGAGAACTGGACCGTCTAGTTCCTCGGCGACGAGGCCAGGCCGCCTTCTCGATCTCTGCGCAACCGACAGACGAACCTCAGCTCAGGATGCGTAACAATTCTTTCTGGAAATCGTATCCACTCGCCTAGAGCTCCGCTCGACGACTCGCTCCGCTTCGAGCTACCTTTTTTTACGACCCAAGGAGTGGCGCTTGGAATTATTCCTTTTTCTCATGCGCCTTTTACGTTTTCCCTAATTGGATAATGACTGATTTGTTGAAACCAAAACAAGTAATAGACGTCACGCTTCTGTGCCGAGCTTCTGAGTTACTGCCTCTAACGTACGGTGCTTCGTGCCAGGATATTAATTATTTCATCTATTCTACGTACTCTGTATTCGACATTTAAATTACGCGACTTGACAAGCTTTTCAATAAATTCAATTAAAAAATTACAAACGAGGATTCTAGGTTTCGGTTAAAAATAATTTTATCTCGCAATTGTTTATAAAACGAACGTCCCAATTTCCACGTTACAATTTCTACCCATTCGCAAGATAATGCACATATTACATCGGTATTATTACCGAAAATTATGCGAACAGATATTGGTCCATTTACTACGGTGATTCTCGAAATGTAATTAAGCTTAAAGAAGAGAGGAGACCCAGTACCGAGAGGCCAACACCAGTAGAAGGGGTACGATTTTACACGGGTCTTCGAGGCGGCCGATCGTGCGCGTGTACCAGGTTTATTGCGAAAGAATTATACGGAGCACAAGGTCTGGCCGTTCGCCGGACTCGAATTTTTACCAATCGAAGGTTACGTTTCGCAGTTGGGTCCGCGTACCGATCTGTGGCCCCTGCGTATGCCCTCTCCCTCCTCCGCCAACGTCCCCATATCACGGTACAGTCCGTTCTGCTATCGCCTCGGTTTCCCTCGAACGAACATCACCTGCGTTCAGTCTTCGAACATAATACATATTTAAAACAATGTTCCAATATCTGCGATGATCTCCGTCACTCAAATACAATAAAAGGATATCATTTAATTAACAAAGGAACAGGATATCTGTTATCAAATAGAAAATATGAAGACCTCGTCAAAGAGAATAAAGAACATTATTAGAATCGACCTGAAAATTCATCCCTTTTATCTCGAGGATTAAACGGGAATCGCTGAAAGAAGTTTTCGAACGAAGCCGAATGCGTGTTATCAGAATTGGCATGAGCTTGGTGTTATCAGGCACTGTACCGTCAGAATCGTGAGTCAGAAACAGAGTGGAGGCCACTTCTCCGGGTTTTGTCCCCTCCTGGTGGCTACGGGACACGTCGCCGCCGTTGTCCTCCGAGTACGACGAAGGAGAGGCCGGCAGCCAAGACGGTGCCCGGACGAAGAAGAAAAGAGAGACGAGGGAAGTAAGCCGGCCGTAGCTGCGTGCCGTGGCGTGGTGCGGCTTACCACGAGGCCGCCGCGAACGATCAGTTTGTTCGACGTGCAGAACCGGCACGGACGTCGTCGCCGCCGATTCTTAACCAGCTGCGACTCTCCGCAAGAGGTAGATACCCGAGGATCGAACTGGGACCAACGGAGGACATGCCTCGCGTCCACCTCGCCGGGTAACGTCGTCTGACCACTCGTGTATGTTTTCAATTCATTTTACTGGGGAGACTCCCACATTTTTCTTTATATGCGAGAATAAACAGAGTTTTTGTTTAAATCCGGGCGGGGGCTGTTATTGTACATGAAATTACTGTAGGGACACTGTACGGTTTTGTGTGTCGGCTTGGAAAACAAAATAGGGGTGTCGTCGCCTCGATTTACGCGCAAGTGCTCATCAAAAGGTAGGTGCGTACAGAATTTTTTCAACGTGCTTTTAGAAAGTGAAGTGCAGCTGTAATTCCAAATCATAAAAAGTGCATGTTAATAATTTCAATCTAAATAGAGATACTTCTTTTGCTATTTTTTAAGACAACGCAAGGGGCGTTTTATTAGACCGTTTTATCTCGTAATTGGAAAAAGCGTACTGGAATGGAACTGGAATTCTGCACAACGAGATTTCCCGAGATATTATTTTCTCGTTAAACGAATTATTCATTTTCAGGAGGTCTGAACGGGATATCGGTTCCATTAGATTAGGGATATTGTTTTTGGCTCGCGGAGTAAAATCGCTTTAATGATCGTGCCCGGGAAGTAACCCGGTCTCGCCTTTTTCCGGTAAGGTCGCCGGTAGGAAAGCTCGCCTTATACCGCCATTAGTATAATTAACCCAGATTTTCCCGGATTTATGGTGAACGGCGCACGGACTCGGAATCGTGCTCGGTACATTGTAATGCCTCGTCCACACCGCGTTTCGTTATGTCGAAAAAACCCTGTGCAATCCTCTTGCGAATTTCCATGAAATCCTAGAAGGCAAAAAACGACGTAAGGATTTCAGGAAGAATTGTATTACTCAATCTCACTGTTACGTCATTTATAATGCGCAATTTGTTGCTCTATTTCGACTTTTTAATCGTGTTTAGTTTAATAGAGGCATTTTATGAAATTATTCTCGCAGTAAAATTAAGAGATAATTACTAATTAGATTGTTCGAAGTTGCCTAGAAATTCTTAGAGGCTTCGGGGTTTTCATGAAACTACGTGTACGAAGTATTGAACAGATATTATAACTTCTAATCACTGCGAAAAGCGATCGACCGAGATAATCGTGAAACGTTGCACAAGATTAATTCGTGTTCTTCATGAGCAATTAGCTCCGAACGCGTTGACGTATTAATAGCTCGCACTCGTTGATTGACATAAAAACGAAGAAGCTATGAATGTTTAAATACGTATCATCCTCCGTCGATTATTTTAATTGTATTGAAAATTAGAAGTAAACCTGTCCCTATTTTTAAAATCCCTAAGCAATAAAAAACGCTACAATTAATTGTGGTGAATTATTTAATATTAAATCGTGTAACTTGAGAATAGAAATCCGATTACTCGAAATTAAACCCAACTAGAATTACACTTTGATAAATAATATTCTTCAACTTGTGACCGAACATACAGGGTGCTTCACCAAATATTACCATCTCAATTCTCGACGTTATTATTATTAGCAAAGAATATTTATATAATATCGTGAGCTAATTTGTAGCTGGATGCTTAGTAAAAATATGAAAGTCATCATTATTTCTTTTTAAGTGGGATTGTATAGATTTTCCTACACCGATCGATGAAGTTTTATATTATTACCAAACAGTATTAATCTATTAATATTGAAAACGCAATAGTTGAAGAGATACTTCGGGAATTATTGGACCACACTTTATCGAAGTATCACTGACTGGGCAAAAGTATGCAAATATTTTGACAATTACTTCGTCAAAAACGTCATTTTTATATGTCTTGCCATTACATATTCGACGAACAACGTGGATCCAAAAAAATGTTTATCCTGCACATTATAGAAGAATAGGAAGGAATATATTAACTCAGATATTTGCAAATTGTTGGATAGGACTAGGTGGCTTCTTGCCTCCCTCGAAAACATTCAGCATAACATATTTACATTCACTGCTATGTACAACAACAACGACGCTAAATCGAGGTGGCAATATTTGATGAATCACCCTGTATAATTAAACTTCTTAATTACCGCTACGATTGTAAGGTGTACTTTCGTTCGTTAGAACCGATTCACGTTTAACACGAGAGGAAATTCGGGAGGCAAGAATGTCGGAGGGCTGCACGAGTTGCAGGGGCGCGAATTACGGGGGCACCGCGCTGCAGTTGAGCTCGGCTTCCGGTGCCGGGACCGGAAGCGGGCCCTCCACGCCCGGGACTTCCTGCACCACCGCAAGAAGAGTACACGTACGCGCCAAGGTGCTCTACGGCTCCGGCAAGGCCATCGCCAGCTTGCAAGCACAGGAGAAAGCTGCCAGACACTGAATAGGTACGTATTCTAAAAAATATCTTAAAATAGAAACAAAAATTGATTCAACGATGCATCGATGTATCTTTTACAAAATCCATAGAAAAATTGTATAAAAGATTTATTTCTACTACCGATAAGTGTAATAAGTATTTTAAAAGATACTTAGAAAATGTAGATAACCCAACAACATAAGTGCTTATTCATATTGCTATATGTTTCATATGTACTTCATGAAAAGACACTTCAGACACAATATTGATTCGTACTACTTATTCCTCACATAAAAAAATCGCTATAAAAACAAGTACGTAGAAAATCACGTTAGGATTATTCATCGGATTCATGCTACACCGGATGATTCCTCATTAGCATTAATTCTCTATAACACGAATCTAACGCTGACTCTTCATTACCAAATCCACTTGGCTCTTCAATGGAATTCCTCACTGAACGATGGTCCCAGAGATTAGAGGCCGTAGACTCGAATTGCCATTAGTATCGATCCCGGCTGCTCTTCAAACGCCGTTCTAACCGGAACCGAGCACCCGTCGTTCTCGAATTCTATTCCATCTCTATCCCAGCCGGTGAGGGGAAACACAAGAAAAAACGCGAAAGAGAGAGGATCCACGGTATCTCGTAGTGGCAGTAGATCGCGGGAACGAACGGTCGAAATCAAAGTTGTTGACGGAGCCGGAGGGCAGCCCGAGTATAACACTGCTATTCTGCGAGAAAAAAGGACGCGCGACCGGCCGATCCGGCATAAAAAGGCGTATCGAAAAAAAAAGGATAGCCTCCATCCGTGGATAAGACCGGTCGATCGGCGGCCACGGATCTTAGTACTTGGTGGACCGTCCTCGCGAAGGCCACACGTAGGACAGTTCATCCGCGCGGCCTTTGAATCCCACGGAAGGGTTGTAAGCACGCAGGGGTTGGTTGACATGACTTCCTACGCTTTGTGAGTTTTTATTTTCCGCAAGTTTGCTCCGTAATCAATTTCAACATTAATAGATTCTCCTTTATTTAATACGTTTTATTGGTTATCGATCTAATGTCCTTTCTGTGTCGTTCCATTGAATTTCATACTTCGTTATTATATTGTGCATTTTTGTTCGTTTCGGTTATTTTTTATTGTGTCAGCACCTCGCGATCGACGGTCCCGTTACATCTCGCCGCATTCCAAATAAAGGATTTGTGTTAGTTGGTCATGGCATTCATAATCTCCTCGCGTTTTTTGCTTATCGATTAATTGCCATCGTCAGATTGCCACGACTATTAACAGTCCGACAATTATCATCAATTGTAAAGAAATCCGATTGAAGTGACCGTGTAAAAAAGGCTCGTAACGGGTGTTCGCATGGTACGCATCCGTTGCCCGATGATCCAGTTCGATTTGCGCCGTGACGAGAATCGCGAGGCGATCGGGTGCCGGTGGTCTGCGATCGGCGCAATTAAACGTGGTTAACACGATGGAATGCAAATCAGTTAGTCGCACGTGCCGCGTCCGAACGGTATCCGACGCGCGCCAGATACGAGCCATTCACGTTCGCGTTATACACGTTGTTTCGTGCGCCGATTCCAAACCGTGAGAAAGTTAATGTCACGGTCGGGAAAACGCGAAACTGACATCGTCGCGTGTTACGCGCCAACGGGATACGTAATTTGAATAATTAGAGTTCTGTGTACATTGTGATCAAATGACAAACATTCTGTATAAACGTGTATACTGTAATCAGACGGCTGAATATAATACAGGTTGGTTCGTCCGATGCTACCACCTCGATTTTCGTCGTTATTACCATCGAGGGGATACTTAAAAAGTGGGACAGCGAATGAGACCCAATGG